TGCACCTCCCTCCTTATCTGTGCATACTCGTTTCTGGCTCGTCGACTAATCACTTAATTTTCCTGAGTCCTTTGCCTTCTGTACTTTTTCCATTCTCTAGAGCACTTAGTTTTTGCCTCCTTACACCTTCGGGTAAACCAAGGGCTCGTTCTGTCCTTCCCATCATTTCTGTTACCCTTGGGAACAAACCTTTCCTCTGTGTCCTCGCAGTTTGTTTACTGATTTCGTTTACTGATTTTCCTACCAACTCATGTTCCCACTGAACCTCCTGCAGGAAGGTCCTCATTCCTGTGTAGTCCCCCCTTTTATAGTTTAGCTTTTCCCTTTCTACTCCTGTTACCCTCTCCACTTTTAGCTCCATAATGTATTGAAAGCTCATAACCACGTGGTCACTAGCTCAAAGGGACCTTTCATATGTGATGTGCTCAATGTTTGAGCTACTCAGGATAAACACAAAGTCCAGTCTTGCTGGTTCATCCTCCCCTCTCTCTCTGGTAGTTTCCCTAACATGTTGGTGTGAGCAATAGGGATTGACAATTCAGAAGCACCATCTTTTAGGAACTTAGATGGGATGTTATCAGGGCCGATGCTCTTAGTTGGGTTTAACCTGCTTAGTTCTTTTTGAATAAAGTCATGAGATACACTTACTAGCTGACAACTGTTTGGAGCTACCCCTTTATTGGTATAGTATGTTTGAAACTTATCTGAGTCTGTGCTAAAGATATTTGATGCAGCTGGTAGTTTACTTACTAGTGTTGATGTGACAGATTTGTGGTAGGAATCAAAACAATTTGCCACTTTAGTTGTTTCGTGGCATACCTCATTATCGATATTGAGTACTCTGTTAGACCTATCTACTGGTTTATGGCTATACCCCAACTGTTTTAGTTATTGCCAGAGCTTTCTGGGGTTATGCTTATACTCTGCACTCTCTTCCTCATCCTTTGGAATTCATTTAGTGCTGCAATATCCTGTTTGTTTGTTTTAAATCTTTTTAGCAACTAGTGTGGAAATTTGTCTAGACTGCCTCCATGTGAGTTCTGTTGACACCGAACTCTGAGGTCGGTATCTCAGCCTCACAAGTGGCTTATAGGACAGATTTCCACAAATGACTGATGTTGCAAGAAAATCTCGCCTGCATGCACGAATAAAGGGCTAACTTACTTGGTGTTGGAGAATATATTCCGATCTTCAACCTCCCTAAGCTTTAGCCCCTCTGGACTTCCCCTCAGAACCACGTGCAACCGGGAGCCTTAATTCCTGCAATATTCAGTCGAAATTAGTGACCTGCCTGCACCTCAGAAATTCCTGTTTCCAAGGGGGTGTGTATCCCCTTGTATAACTATGCAGAAATAGACACTAGCTTCTAAGGCCTAACCACGAAGAGTCGCCGGCACGTACTGATCATTAGGCCGTCCAGCTGCACATAGACCCACAGTTCAACTCACTCGCAAATTCCCCCCAGAAAACTGGCCAGAATACTGAGAGAGAAAGGGAGGTCTCGTCTTACTGTATGGACCTGACGGAGGTGGTCATCTACGGTACGTCGAGGTGCCTCCACCAAATTTCCCCAGGGCCTAGTATGTGTAGACACGTGGGGGCGCTGCCCTGATGTCCACGGCACTTGTTACTCGGTTGGTGTCTGGTCTTAGAAGGAGGCACTCGGCCTCAAAACCCTGTGCCCCCAGCATTCAAACTTGGGCTGCCAGTTCTCCCTGGCTAATATAACCTAGGGTATGTCTACATTATCGGCCTATTACTACCTACGTTAAGCTCTTAGGTCTACATTATTATTATCTACAGTTGCCTCAATAATCCTAATATTAGTTCACTAACATTGTAAACTACCTACCTCTTCCTTGAAGGGTAAATCTATCAATTAAAAAGTACCTTCCAACCACCTTCGCCAACCCGGGTGTGTACTCACCTATTTGTGGTTGCAGGGGTCGAGTCTTAGCTCCTGTACTCACCTATTTGTACTCACCTATTTGTGGTTGCAGGGGTCGAGTCCTAGCTCCTGGCCCCGCCTCTTCACCGGTTGCTACTAGGCCCTCTCTCTCCCCGCTCCATGAGCTTTATCAAACCTCGTCTTAAAACTGTGTATGGTTCCTGCCTCCACTACGTCATTTTCTAGGCTATTCCACTGCCTTACAACTCTATGACTGAAGAAATACTTCCTACTATCTCTCTGACTCATTTGTGTCTTCAACTTCCAATTGTGGCCTCTTGTTTCTGTGTCCCCTCCCTGGAACATCCTGTCCTTGTCCACCTTGTCTATTCCACGCAGTATTTTATATGTCGTTATCATGTCTCCCCTGACCCTCCTGTCCTCCAGTGTCGTCAGGCCGATTTCCCTTAATCTTTCTTCATAGGACATTCCCCTTAGCTCTGGAACTAACCTTGTTGCAAACCTTTGTACTTTCTCTAGTTTCTTGACGTGCTTTATCAAGTGCGGGTTCCAAACAGGTGCTGCATACTCCAGTATGGGCCTGACATACACGGTGTACAGTGTCTTGAATGATTCCTTACTAAGGTGTCGGTGTGTGTGTGTGTGTGTGTGTGTGTGTGTGTGTGTTTTGGGTGGGTGTAAGGGCCACCCAACCCAGCCGTTCCATCCATGGCATGTTGGGATCTTTGTACGACGTATCTGTCCTGTGGAACTTTAGGGCCGAATAAATTTCCACAACTGGTCTCTGAATTTCATATTATCTAATATCTCAGTAGTCATCCAGGGTTCAGTTTTTCGTTTAATCATAACCTCTTTAACTGGTGCAATATTATCAAGAACGGCAGTGAACATTGTTTTCAATTTTTCCCAGGCATCATTTACGTCCGTGCAACTTGTTATCACTGTCCACTCACAATTGTGTAGCCTATTTACCAGTATTTCTTTGCTGTAGTTTCTAGTTGACCTAATTTTTATTGTCCTGTGTGGGTCTATCCTATCCCTAGTGATTTTCCTGGTGCAGTAAATGATGAAATGATCACTAAGGCCTATGGTAATGACGCCTGACTGACTAATGTTCTCAGAGCGGTTACAAAGTATGTGGTCAATTAGGGTGGCTGAGAACTGTGTGATCTGGGTTGGTGTATTAATTAGTTGAGTGTAACTAAACCTAGAATTTGCTTATACCTTTTGTATAGCCGTTATTTTACTGCTGAAAACAGATACTGAAGTCTCCCAGTATTACTGTCTCGCAATTGTTTTCAAGCCCGGACAAGACTCTGGAAAAATCTTCTAAGAACTGATCCTGGGTGGGAGGGCGGTAACTAGTTCCTACTAAGATGGGTTTGGTCTTGGGAAGCAACACTTCAAACCATAGAATCTCCAGTTTATTGTTATTTAAATCAGGTCTTGGGTTGTACGCTAAGTCATTTCTTATGTAGGCACATACCTATCTAAACGTTTTATATTGTAACTTTCTATTTTGACCTCGTCGTCAGTCACCGTATCATCCAGCCAAGATTCAGAGATGGATATAACTGCCGCCCTAGTTCTGTTAACCAAAATCCTAATCTCTGCCAATTTTGGAAAAAGTGATCTTGCGTTGACATGAATAAAGTGAAGGCCTGTTTTCATAAAACAATTATAATCATCAATATATGGCAATGGGTCATTTGTATTAAAATTATGTAAATCAATGTCATCATTGTAACAAAGTGCATTTGTTACACACAAAATGAATTCTGGCACCATTACTATAATTACATACATCCATTATGGCCCGGTGGCCTGGTGGCTAAGGCTCCCGCTTCACACATGGAGGGCCTGGGTTCGATTCCCGGTGGGTGGAAACATTTCGACACGTTTCCTTACACCTGTTGTCCTGTTCACCTAGCAGCAAATAGGTACCTGGGTGTTAGTCGACTGGTGTGGGTTGCATCCTGGGGGACAAGATTAAGGACCCCAATGGAAATAAGTTAGACAGTCCTCGATGACGCACTGACTTTCTTGGGTTATCCTGGGTGGCTAACCCTCCGGGGTTAAAACTCCGAACGAAATCTTATCTTATCTTATCTTACCCACCCCTTACACATTTTACATAAGGTGTCTTTTCTGTTCTTCTTTCGTACTTTAGTACAGTGTATGCACCTGTTTGGTGGTGTCTGAGATAATAAGAATGGCTGTATTGTCTCACATTGACCTTTGTATGCATTAAATATGGAGTTAAGGTTATCATTCCTAGCTACTAGACCGTCATTTATCTGTCTGTTTTGCCTCTGCACAATAGTTTGAGGTCTAGGATTATGCTCTGCATAACAAGGGGCTTTCTATATAGATATCATTCATGTCAGCTATTCCTGTATAATTTGTACATATACTTAAAGAAATAAAGATTATTATTATTACTGCACTAACTTTCATTTCAATTTTATTTGCAATCATCCCCACTAATCCCTAACTTGACACCTCTACCTCTCGCTCATTCTTAAGGGGCCGTTAGTGTGCTCAGGGTAGCTTCACTTATTTGGATCAAGAGCCCATCACCAATCTCGATGGAAAAAAACCTTTATAATCATTTTTTTTGTTAATAATCTGGCCATGGGTGCGATAGATAATCAGTTGCCTTATGTAAGTTAGTTAGTTTAATATTTTATTATACACCCCACACCCATCCTGTGGCCGGCAGCCAAAAGATTACAGAGCTTATGTAAGTCAAGCAGCGCTGTATAGCCCTTGTGGCTTAGCGCTTCTTTTTTATTATAATAATAATTATGTAAGTTAAGTTCTCATTTTATAGGCAGTTGATCTATTTTTGGTTCCAGTCCAAGGCATTAGAGCTGCCTTACCTTTCCTTAGATCAAACTTAATTAATAACAGTAATAATCAGAAGTAGAATTGCATTTATATGCAAAGTTTCAGCTCGTACAGTTCTTGAGGATTATTTAGAAAATAGGACCACCATTCAAAACATAGTGTTATTACTGTCTTATATAATATCATTATTACTTCATCTCTGAAGCTAATTTCGGTTATTTAGCAATAGAAATTATTTAAACCTTCATGTATGTAAATTTACTTAAAGTCAAACTTCTATTACATACAAATGTATGGAAAGTATAATCAATATACATTAGGACTGCACAACCTTGTTTTATGAGGATGTGAGAGGCTGGCGCCAGGGAGTTTGAAGAGCAGTTCCTGTGTTGTTACTGAGGCAAATTGGAATCCAACATGACAGATAAAAATATTTTTGAGATGAGCGCATATGAAAAGAGGCTGAAGAGCTTCAAGAAGTGGCCATTTAGTAGCGACACGGGAATGAGTAAAGAGAAGGTAATTATTGATACTTTAGTTTAAGACGTTACTTAGTGCATTGTATTGCTCAGTAGTTAGTACACGTAAGTACAATTATTATACCTAGTAACAGATGTGTAAATTACCTAGGGTAACCCAGAGCAGTCGGACAGAATGACTGATTTCTGTTGGGGGTCACTGACTTTTTTGGGTTATCCTAGGTTCTCTACACATGCTGCTATGTACGATAATCTGTGTAACTGTATTTGTGTATACCTAAATAAAATTACTTATTTGTGAACTCAGATGTCAATAGGCCAGCCAGGCCACGTGACCTGGCTGGCAAAGCTCTCGATTCACACACTGAGGGTTCGGGTTCGATTCCCGGGGTGGAAAATTTAGATGCGTATCCTTACACCTGTTGTCCTGTTCACCTAGCAGGTAGGTACCTGGGCGTTAGTCGACTGCTGTGGATCGCATCCTGGGGGACAAGATTGAGGACCCCAATGGAAATGAGACAGTCTCTCAATGATGCATTGCCCTTCTTGGGTTATCCTGGGTGGCTAACCATCTGGGGTTAAAAATCCTAGTGAACACTGTAGATGGGTTTAGCTGTATGACCCTTAAGGGGTTTAGTGCTTAGTTATGATTATAGTACAAATCAGTAAATATTAAAATTAAAATCCTTAGTAAGTACAGTTATCCTAGATAGTAATACGTACAGTTGTACCTAAAGTTTCGAACAGCTCCCAACTGCTTTTGTAAGTGTATTTTTGGGGGTCTGAAACAGACTAATCTAATTTACATTATTCCTTATGGGAACAAATTCATTCGGTATTGGCACTCGAACAACCTTCTGGAACGAATTAAGTTAGTAACTTGAGGTACCACTGTATATGTGTAAATTACCTAAGATAGTCCCCAAAAAAAAGTCAGTGAATAAAGATACCAGTCAGGTTTCAGGTGATCTCATTCAATGGAGACTTGTCTAATTAACCTGGTGAATTATATGCTAATGCAGATGTCAATGAGATTTTACAGGCATGGTTAATTTTCCATAATTGTGATGTTATGTAAATCAAGGTACAGTGTCTGCATAGGCTCTGTACACCATTCAGTTTTAATCTTGTAAAGTAAAAGGACACAAGTGCAACTAATGTGACATTTATTGTGGCAACGTTTCGCTCTCCAGGAGCTTTATCAAGCCATTACGATAAATGTCACATTAGTTGCACTTGTGTCCTTTTACTTTACATATTGTCGGTAATTCTACCAACTTTATTACAGTTTTAATCTTAAAAGTGCCTGTTTAAAAGTTCCTGTGTTATGTGAATGACATGCCCATCAGTGTCAAATGTTAGCTTCTGTTGTATGCAGATGACAGTGCTCTGTTATTGTCAGGTAAAGACCCACAAGATATAACTAATGTACTATCACTAGAACAAGAATCCTGCAGCTAATGGTTGATAGACAACAAATTATTGTTACATTTTGGAAAAAATGGAAGCCATGTTCTTTAGCACAAAAAATAAACTGAAAAAGGTAAATAATTTTAATGTCCAGTGTAATGGGGAACCCATCACTTCAGTATCTTCAGTGAAATATCTGGGAAACCCCTTTGACCTAAGCATGTCATGGGAATTGATAGGAAACTGTTGTAAAGAAAGCAAATGCCGGACTAAAGTTTCTCTACAGACAGGTACAGTGTCTACCTACTGAGGCTCACAGGACCCTATGTTTAGCTCTTATACAGTACCATATAGATTATTCTTGCTCTTCATGGTACTCTGCCTTAACAAAAAAAAGTGAAAGATAGACTACAAATCACCTAGAACAAAATGGTGAGATTCATCCTAGAGCTGGGTCCAAGAGAGCATGTAGGTCAGGATGAATTGCAACAACTGGATATGCTGAATATTAAAGACAGAGTAAAACAGTTGAAGTTAATTCATGTTCATAAAATAGCTTACAAGCAGTGTCCAGAATATCTTGCTACCAAGTTTGTCAAGTCTGGGAACCAAACTTGAGGAAGGGAGCACAACTTTGTAGTACCCACAGTAGGTGGTCAGGCTTCAAACCCCTTTTATTGTACAGCAGTAAAGGAGTGGAATAGACTGCCTGCACATGTCAAAGCCTGTCATAGCCTGAGGCAGTTCAGGAAGAGAACCAAAGCATACTTAATGAATGTAGCGACAGTAAAGGAGAAGAGTGACTTCGTGTAGCTAACATACATGTACCTTATTCCTAGTACAGGAAGGCCCCGCTTTACGGCGTTTCACTTTACGGTGTTCCGCTAATACGGTCATTTCAAATTATGACCAAAACTCGCTATACGGCTCCCCCCACCTGACTTTCTAATACGGTCACCGCGCCCCACCTTGTTTGTTTACATTCTTCTTGAGCTCAGTGAGCACTAAGTCTCTCCATTTTGTCTGGAAACTCCAAAATTTCAAATGTTTTTAAAAGTTATTACTCTGATAAAGTTATCACTCTGATAATTATACTTATGTATACCTGTACTTAAATAAACTTACATACTGTGCTGGCATGCAGGTACACATTAAAATCAGTAAGAGTGTCTTATGTCTCCAGACGTCATATTAGTAATGATAATAATAATCATCGAGTCTCATTTAAATGTCGTATATTACGTTAAATACGCATTTTCATTAATCCATCTATGATATTTTTTTCAAAATTATATAATAAACACGATACATAACATAAAAAGATGATAAATACACCCTACAATAGAATAAATAAACATAAATATGAGATGTGGTAGCCAGATAACTTGTACAAGTGATGCCAAGAATAACATTTTCTCTAATCTAACATAAGAAAAAATGTGTTACTGGGGGTAACTGTAGAAAATTATTCCTTTCGTATGTATGTAAGTAAGTTTATTCAGGTATACACAAATACAGTTACATAGATTATCATGCATAACAACATGTGTAGAGAACCTAGGATAACCCAAAAAAGTCAGAGTGACTTATTTCCATTGCCTTCACTCAGAGCATCATTTCTTCTCAAAATGAAGTTACATGAGAATGGGAATGTTCTTCTTTATTTATTCTACCGTATCAATGTAGAGACAACCTGTACACAATGTAACTTGTACACAAACCAGACGTGTACACTTCGTTTACAAAACTTACCTTCGCCTGGTTTGTTTACATAACTGCGCCTGTCCTCTCTCATGCACTCATTCTTTCTCTCTCTCATTTATTCGTTTTATCTCATTTACTTACTCCTGACCCTACATTAAGACTACAAATATTTTAAGGTAAGTAATGAGTGAACTGTATATACATTTTATCGCTCTGGGATGCTTAAATGTAATAGAATATTATATGTAGGTGGGTTGGCCTGGTATGGTAGCCTGGCTGACTACCATACATACCACACTTGATTTTTTACAATAAATACTACACATCTCACCCTACATTTTAAGGTAAGTAATGAGTGAACTGTATATACATTTTATCGCTCTGGGATGCTTAAATATCATAGAATTGTATGTGTGGGTGGGGTGGCCTGGTATGGTAGCCTGGCTGACTACCATACATACCACACTTGATTTCTTACAATAAATACTACTTGTCTCACCCTAGATTAAGACTATAAATATTTTAAGGTAAGTAATGAGTGCACTATGTGTGTATTGTACTTTTTTTATTGTTTTTTGATGCCTGGTTCTATTGCTAACTTAATATATGTTAGTGTAAACTTGTTATCTAGTGTTTGTATGCATTTGTAAGTGGAAAAAAAGGGTGTTCCACTTTACGGCGGTAGCCTGGAACCTAACCAGCCGTATAAGTGGGGCCTTCCTGTATATCTCCTTTTATTTTTAACTGTTTTTCACATAGTTTAGTTACTTAACTGTTTTAACTTAGGGCAGTGGTTCCCAAACTTTTTCAGCTTGTTACCCAATTTAACATGCCACATAAAGCATGTTGCCCCTTTCACAAAATGTTGTTGTTATTGATATATATGGCTAAATTAAAACACTTGAGATATTTTCTTTTATTTATTGTATTTGAACATTGTGCATCTCTAATGACTATTACCAAAGATGTCAAGAACATCAGTGGGATGGATGGAGTTGCATACTTGAAGCTAGTTTAGGAATTCTTGGCTTCGTGGTTGAAAGTGCCAGCCTGGCATCGTTTGCAACATTCAAGCGAGTCCTCTTTTTTGTTTTCATACCCAGCACAGTTGAGAAGCCCTTCTCGCACAGATACATTGTTGAGAATGATACCAACAACTTCAAGGCTCTCTTGGACAGAGTTGGCGAGCCAGGTAGTCGTGAAATCCAAAAGGAATCTGCATTTTGGTTTTGGAATTCGATTTTCAAGGCTTCATTGGCTCGCATTGTGATCCATTCCTCCTTTGCAGGGAAATCATCATCATGAATGGCATCATCAGGTAACAGAGAAGGGATGAATGATCCACTGAAGAGTGGCTGTTTCTTGGTCACTCTCTGGAAAGTAGTGATGCTGCTTGTTTCAAGCCCTTCAAATGGTCGCTCATTTCTTTGTTGATGGTCTGTAGAAGTGATCCAGTATCATGACTATTCTCCTCAACAAACTGGTCTAGGGTGGGAAACTGGGCGATAACTCCTTTCTCCAAGCGCCAAAATCCAGAGTCTCAGTTTCCCAGAAATGCAGTCACAGTGTGATGGGCATCAATGACAGTGTGTTTCGGCCCTGGAGTTGCAGATTACCACTGTTCAGCTCCGCAAATATGACAGCCAAGTAACAAAGTCGAGCAAGCACTCCTTATCGGTGAATTGGTAGCAAAAGGAGATCCTTTTTGTTCAGGAATTCCTGAACAGCTTTTCGGAGCTCAATGACTCGACGTACAACCTTGCCTCGTGACAACCAGCGAACATCGGTGTGGTAGAGCAGAACTTGATACTGCTCTCCCATTTCCTTGCACAGCTCCTTGAATGTGTGCGAATTCACATCTCTGGACTTGATGAAGTTGACGATTTTCAACACATCTTCAAACACTAACTTCAGATTACCAGGCAGGCTTTTCGATCCAAGAGAGTACCGATGAATGATGCAGTGATCTACAGAAATTTCTGGATTGATAGCTTGTATGAGGCCCCGTAATCCACGATGACCACCCATCATCGACCCGGTCTGTGACCAGGCTGCCTGGTGGATCAGAGCCTGATCAACCAGGCTGTTACTGCTGGCTGCACGCAAACCAACGTACGAGCCACAGCCCGGCTGGTCAGGAACTGACTTTAGGTGCTTGTCCAGTGCCAGCTTGAAGACTGCCAGGGGTCTGTTGGTAATCAACATTATGTATGCTGGGAGGCAGTTGAACAATCTCGGGCCCCTGACACTTATTGTATGGTCTCTTAACGTGCTAGTGACACCCCTGCTTTTCATTGGGGGGATGTTGCATCGTCTGCCAAGTCTTTTGCTTTCGTTGTGAGTGATTTTCGTGTGCAAGTTCGGTACTAGTCCCTCTAGGATTTTCCAGGTGTATATAATCATGTATCTCTCCCGCCTGTGTTCCAGAGAATACAGGTTTAGGAACCTCAAGCACTCCCAGTAATTGAGGTGTTTTATCTCCGTTATGCGCACCGTGAAGGTTCTCTGTACATTTTCTAGGTCAGCAGTTTCACCTGCCTTGAAAGGTGCTGTTAGTGTGCAGCAATATTCCAGCCTAGATGAAACAAGTGACCTGAAGAGTGTCATCATGGGCTTGGCCTCCTAGTTTTGAAGGTTCTCATTATCCATCCTGTCATTTTTCTAGCAGATGCGATTGATACAATGTTATGGTCCTTGAAGGTGAGATCCTCCGACATGATCACTCCCAGGTCTTTGACGTTGGTGTTTCGCTCTATTTTGTGGCCAGAATTTGTTTTGTACTCTGATGAAGATTTAATTTCCTCGTGTTTACCATATCTGAGCAATTGAAATTTCTCATCGTTGAACTTCATATTGTTTTCTGCAGCCCACTGAAAGATTTGGTTGATGTCCCCCTGGAGCCTTGCAGTGTCTGCAATGGAAGACACTGTCATGCAGATTCGGGTGTCATCTGCAAAGGAAGACATGGTGCTGTGGCTGACATCCTTGTCTATGTCGGATATGAGGATGAGGAACAAGATGGGAGCGAGTACTGTGCCTTGTGGAACAGAGCTTTTCACCGTAGCTGCCTCGGACTTTACTCTGTTGACGACTACTCTCTGTGTTCTGTTAGTGAGGAAATTATAGATCCATCGACCGGCTTTTCCTGTTATTCCTTTAGCACGCATTTTGTGCGCTATTACGCCATGGTCACACTTGTCGAAGGCTTTTGCAAAGTCTGTATATATTACATCTGCATTCTTTTTGTCTTCTAGTGCATTTAGGACCTTGTCGTAGTGATCCAATAGTTGAGACAGACAGGAGCAACCTGTTCTAAACCCATGTTGCCCTGGGCTGTGTAACTGTTGGGTTTCTAGATGGGTGATGATCTTGCTTCTTAGGACCCTTTCAAAGATTTTTATGATATGGGATGTTAGTGCTATTGGTCTGTAGTTCTTTGCTGTTGCTTTACTGCCCCCTTTGTGGAGTGGGGCTATGTCTGTTGTTTTTAGTAACTGTGGGACGACCCCCGTGTCCATGCTCCCTCTCCATAGGATGGAAAAGGCTCATGATAGGGGCTTCTTGCAGTTCTTGATGAACACGGAGTTCCATGAGTCTGGCCCTGGGGCAGAGTGCATGGGCATGTCATTTATCGCCTGTTCGAAGCCATTTGGCGTCAGGATAACATCGGATAGGCTTGTGTTAACCAAATTCTGTGGTGCTCTCATAAAAAATTCATTTTGATCTTCGACTCTCAGTCTGGTTAGCGGCTTGCTAAAAACTGAGTCATATTGAGACTTGAGTAGCTCACTCATTTCCTTGCTGTCATCTGTGTAGGACCCATCTTGTTTAAGTAGGGGCCCAATACTGGACGTTGTTCTCGACTTTGATTTGCCATAGGAGAAGAAATACTTTGGGTTTCTTTCGATTTCATTTATGGCTTTTAGTTCTTCCCACGATTCCTGACTCCTATAAGATTCCTTTAGCTTAAGTTCGATGCTTGCTATTTCTCTGACCAGTGTCTCCCTACGCATTTCAGATATATTGACCTCTTTTAGCCGCTCTGTTATTCTTTTCCGTCGCCTGTAAAGGGAGCGCCTGTCTCTTTCTATTTTACATCTACTCCTCCTTTTTCTTAGAGGAATAAGCCTTGTGCATACATCGAGTGCCACCAAATTAATCTGTTCTAGGCATAAGTTGGGGTCTGTGTTGCTTAGTATATCTTCCCAGCTTATATCGGTTAGGACTTGGTTTACTTGGTCCCACTTTGTTTTTGTTACTGAAGTTGAATTTGGTGAATGCTCCCTCGTGACTAATCTCATTATGTTGGTCTGGGGCTCCACGCATACATGTCTGAACCTCAATTATGTTGTGATCTGAGTACGTATATTGTTTTTGATATGGTGACATTTCTTATCAGATCATCATTGTTAGTGAAGATGAGGTCTAGTGTATTCTCCAGTCTAGTAGGCTCTATTATTTGCTGGTTTAAATTTAATTTTGTGCAGAGATTTAAAAGCTCGTGTGAGTGTGAGTTTTCATCAGAGCTGCCTCCTGGTGTTATTACTGCAACAATATTATTTGCTATATTCCTCCATTTTAGGTGCCTTAAGTTGAAATCCCCCTGGAGCAAGATGTTGGGTGCAGGAGCTGGAAGATTTTCCAGACAGTGGTCAATTTTTAACAGCTGTTCCTGGAATTGCTGGATGTTGCATCGGAGGCTTATAGACTACCACAATGACTAGGTTTTGGTTCCCGACCCTTTTCTGATAAAACTTCCACTACATCATTTGAGGCATTAAGCAGTTCTGTGCAACAAGTGACTCTGCAATGTACAGGCCAATTCCCCCCTTTTGCCTGTTCACTCTGTCACATCTGTATAGGTTGTTTAAACCTGGGATCCATATTTCGTTGTCCAAGTGATCCTTTATGTGGGTCTCAGTGAAAGCCGCGAACATTGCCTTGTGACTCTGCAAGCAGTCCACGGGATTGAAAGTTATTTTGTTGTATGTTGCTGGCTTTAGACCTGTATATTTGCATATGAAGATCATGTCTTCGGACTGGTGGTTTGTGCACTGGGGGGGGATTTTTATTCCGGCATTAGTTTTGTATCTGTTGCTTTGGAGGTGGAAGGCAATCGAGACTGTGGTTTCCACTCCAGGAATGATGGATTTGGTGTACGATTTCTGCTTTTTCTGGCGCCAGTTTTTTTCTTCTGGCACTAAAAACTCTCCCTATGAGTTGGCTGTGGCTACCAGGGTTTTCCCTATGGCATGGATGTTTTGTTATTCTTATATCCCTGTAGATGGGTGTTCTGGTAATTTAAGTTATAGCACTGTCTTTCCTGTGTACTGAAGAGGGTTACACATTTTCAGGTGTGGAAACAGCCTTACAGGAAGGAGTTTGCATTTTTCCTGTTGTCATATGGGCACGGCATTTTCTAGGGTGGTCATAGTTGCAGTCGTCTGTTTTTCCAGATTTCACATGCCTGCAGATACCAAGTGGCATTGTATGTGCACAGGTTGGGTTCTCTTTTTTATTTGTTTGCCTTGGGTTTTGTGACCTTGTATTCCTGTTGGTACATGTTTCCTGTCTTCATTCCTATCATCCATATGGGGCACCAACAATGATTGGAGCTCCCACAGTTGTTTTTGGTAAATATATCTCACTATTGCTAGTGGGAGTCCTTTCTTGTTTGGCTATTTCCTGTGGTATTTCTAGTTGCCAACATTGGTTTTATCTTAGCTTTGATACCACTTGTTTCCCCACTAAGGCTCTGTCCCTATGAGGTCATTTATATGTATGTTCTTCCTGCGTAAATATTTACTGTACTGTAAAGTTACAGTAGATTAATAAAACTGAGCCAAAGTACAGTACTGTAACAAGGCTGTCCTTCTTGATGTAATGTACAATTATACAAGGCAAAAGGAACATATTAAGATAATGTAATTAGGAAAGGGTAATCGTTTGTGCCAATGATAGTGTTTATTGTATCGTATATGAATACAGGCAAACATTTCCAGCGGACTATGTTTCTTATACAACTATTGTAATTATTTTGTGGTCAAAATGAGGAACTTTTACAGTTATGAATCCACTAAAAACAAACAAAAGGGATTATTTTAATTTTAGTCTTACTGTAAAAGGCACAAGTGAACTATTTGTGACTTTTATTGTGGACAAGTTTGCTCTCCAGTGAGCTTTATCAAAGCCATTACAGAATGGCTTGATAAAGTCTGGAGAGCGAAACGTTGCCACAATAAAATGTCACATTAGTTGCACTTGTGTCCTTTTACTTTACATATTGTCGGTAATTCTACCAACTTTATTATAGTCTTACTAGATTGAATGACTACTGGCATTATTTGGCAAGACACTGCTGCCCATTAAAAATTCAATTCATATTTGCACTATAATCTCGCTGGTAATTTAGAGATTGGAAAATATTATCTTTTAATTGTTCATCTTAGCTAAATCATTAATTAGTCATAAATTATAAGTTATCTACCAACTAAAGTTGTATACCAAGAAAAAATAATGATTTGGAATTTTAATCATTTCTTGTCAGATGGCTGCTGCTGGATTCTACTTCACAGGCAGTAAGAAGGAACCTGACCTGGCCAAATGTTTTGTATGTCTCAAGGAACTTGATGGTTGGGAAGAGGATGATGATCCATGGTATGTGAGATGAATTTATTCTGAAATTTATTTTTCCTATACATATTTTGTTTTTAACACATTGGCCATCTCCCAACAATTCAGGGTGACTAAAAAAAAAAAATGCTTTCACCATCATTCACACATAATCACTGTCTTTGAAGATGTCACTCCAAACAGCCAATATCCCAAACCCCTCCTTTAAAGTGCAGGCATTGTACTTCCCACCTCCAGGACTCAAGTCCGGGTAACTGGTTTCCTGAATCCCTTCACAAAATATTACCCTGCTCACACTCCAGCAGCTCATCAGGTCCCAAAAAACCATTCGTCTCCATTCACTCCTATCAAACTTGCTCACACATGCCTGCTGTATGTCCAAGGCCCCTTGCACACAAAAAACTCTTAACCTCTGTCCCTTCCCCTTCATCCATTTTCTAGGATGCCCTTTAACCTCCCTTCCTCAACTACAGATTTATGCACCCTCATCAGTCTCTGGATAATACTTTAGAAAATCCACACCTAATTTATGCTACAATTCGCTGCCATAATATTTTCACCAACACATTGTCAATAGACACGATATATTCACTGCCTCCAGTCCTCTTGCTGCAGCAATTAACAAACATGTTTCATATCCATTTGAGTGTTAGTACCACTTGCTCATCAATCTTCCCTTCTGTGCCTCATGATAACGGTCTTTGTCCCACAGAACCTCAATGCACCACCACACTTTTTTCCTTCATCATTTCTCTCGTTTACCTCGTCCTTCATAAAATCATTTGCTGACGAGTTACTCCAAATTGAAAACATTACTTCTTCCATACTCCCTCCAATGTAATGTCAAATTTTTTTTCACCTAAACACGTTTTGATACCCTCATCATCTTAATCTTGTCTATGTTCACTTTCAACTTTCTTCTTTACACACCCTCCAATCTCGCACACCAAACCTTTGCAGCTTTCTTTAGAATCTCCCAAAAAGCACAGTATCCAGAGCAAAAAGTAATCGTCAACTCCCATTTTGTATTTAATTAATCATAATTTAATCCCCCCCCTTCCCAAACACCCTAAGATTTACTTTTTTTACAACCCCGTTTATAAAATATATTAAAAACCTAGTAACATTACAACCCCTGTCAAAGGTCTATTTTACTGGGAAGCAATCCCCCTTTCTCTCTTACCCCAAAACCTAACTCACTTTCTTAAAAAACTTTACAGCTTTTAGTAATGTACTAACTATCCAGCACTTGCAACACTACATGCTCCTGTCTGCTCTTCATATACCTTTTCAAATCCAAAATTAAAACAAAAAATTCCCCACCCCTTTATCTAAAATGTTGTTCTTTACATGTTTTCAGTGCCAACCCCTTGGATACGGTACATACCCCCCTACCTAGTCAAAACCCTCCTTGTTCATTGAAATCTGCTCTCTGCCTTCCTCTAATTTTTTCAATAAAAACCCTTTTCCAACTTGACCTGGTATACTGAAAAACTTTTTCCCCCTAAAATTTTTTTTACTCATTTTTCTCCCCCCCCCTTTTTATATAAGAGAACTATACACCACAATCCCAGTCCCTATGTCCTTCCCCCCCTATACATTTATTGAAAAAAGTAAAAACCCCCAAAAAACGTTCCCCCCCCTGCCTAAAATTTCTGTATATCCCATCTTTCCCAGCTTTTTTTACCCTCCATTTTATCCAAATGGGCTGCCAGCGTGTCAGGTGCCTCGTTGGCTCCCGTTTTCTCGTGTTTTCACGGTCGCTCTTACGTGCTAGAATTTTAAATTTGTGTCATCAACCTATACATACATCCCTCTAGCCCCTGGAACCAATCTTGGGGGGAAAACATTATATATGATCAAAAAAGGAAAATTTTAGTGTGCATGCGTAGCAGGTTTACTCCAAAGGGGGGAATAAGGGCCCTGTGCCCCGTGTGGGAAAAAAATTAAAAATTGAACTTTTCTGTCAGGGGAAGAAAGTCCCCTGTATCTTTGAGTATACATAGTGTTAGTGTATATACGGGGCTCCCTGGGATTTGATGAAAAAGGAAAGTGTCATTTGAAAAAAGGTAAATTTGAAAATAAAGTGATAAGCATAGAGGAAAAGGTCCCCGAAGTCCCAAAATTTTCCACGGTCAGCTGTTTTTAATAATCTTCCTGGCCGCTAGTGTCTGTATAATCTAGAAAACCCAGTGAATAGCGAATACATGTTGTAGTACAATAACCCATATTATTTAATGGTATTAGTGGAGGGAGTGACTTTCATTAGTTTCTTTTTTGAAATAGGGGTTTACTGTGAATTTCATTAACCCTGTATTTCCCGTGGTCGCAATATACACAACGAGAAGCAATTATTACTACAGAAAGGCCCTTCCTCAAAATTTTGCCCCCAGTCAAATAGTGATAATATGATTTATTCGGTGGGACGGAAAAAAAAAAAATAGAAAACCCGATACAGCGATTGATAAAAAAGGAGGTGACTTTGTCATTGTAGGAGTCCCAGATATCACCGGTTCTTCAAACGCAAGTTATACTTTTGTACAGTAAAATCACATATTACTGGGGTAGATAATTTCAAGTAGACCTTCATGGTTAGCTAAAATTACCGACAGTATGTTTTAAATAAGTGCCCCATGATCAGAGCAGATAACGGTCCGGACCCTTGAGGGTCGAACCCTTGAGGCCCAAACCCGGGAGGGTTTCAAACTTTTTTCGTTGGACAAAAAAGCAACTGTAAAGGGATGGGGTTGTAGGGCCTTATAAACACAAACATTAAAAATCGGGAACGTGACGGTAAGCGTCAAAATACAAAAAGATTTTAGAAACAAAAATACAAATAGTGATTCATTTAAGGTTTTTAAAAAATATTAAAGGGTTGCTAGGGAATTGCAGTAAATCAACCATTCAAATCATTTAAAGCGTGTGTAGTCTGTGGTCAGTAAAACAAACGGGTTTCCCACTGGATAAAAAATTTGGGATTTTTGTGGAAATTGGTGCACCCCCCTTTGCAGTATCCCAGAATAGCTACAAGCATTTTTTAAAAACGAGAGTGTTTCGGGGTATCCCCAAATGGGGAAAAATCTGGGGACAAAATCAAAAAGGGGGTAAAAAAAAGAGGACAACAAAAAGTGCTTTATAGAAAACCGGAAGCTTTCTAAAAACTTGGGAACAAAAAAAAGTCTGGGTGAATGGTACTGCCCTTTGTAGGGCCATGTAGTCCAAAAAATAAAAGGCTGGGGGTGATGCCCCTGGGAGACAGAATAGTAAAGCTGGAGGTGCGTCCTGGGAGCAAAAATGGTAAAGGGGAGGTGTGTCCGGGGAGACAGAAAGGGTGAAGCTGGAGAACTTCCGGGAGCAGTAATGGTGGAAGTGGAGATTTTGTCCAGGTAGTGGGGAATTATACTCAGAAGGAATACATAAAATGCCTCATAGGGGAAGGAGCCATAGGGGGGAAAAACAAGTGTAGTCAAAGATAAGATAAAACCAATATTGCAAACTAGAAATCCCGCGGGAAATAAAACAAGAGGACCCCCAATGCAAAGGAGGATAAATCCCAAAAACAACTGGTGGGAGCCCCATTGTTGGTGCTAGGGAGGATAGAAGTAAGACGGGGGGAAACATGCCCCCAACGGGGAATACAGTCCAGAACCAAAGGCAACAAAAAACCAAGCTGTGCACTCTATGCACTTGGTATTGTGGAGGGGAAATCGGGAAAAAAAAGATGGGACGTGCAACTAGCCCCCCCTAGAAATCCAGCCATATGACAACAGGAAAATGCAAACCCCCTTCCTGTAAGCTTTTTCCCCTGAAATGTGTAACCTTTCTTACAAAAAAGACTGTGCTATAACAAAATTTTGCCAGGCTCCCATCTAAAGGGGACAAAAGATAAAAAACCCAGGCATGGGAAAACCTGGGTACCCACCACTCAAGGGGAGGGGTTTTTTTAGTGCCGGGAAGGGAAAAAAAAAATGGCGGAAATGGCGAAATGTACCCCAAACCAGTCTTCCGGGAGTGGAACCACAGTCGAGGGCCCTCCACTCCAAACCAACAGATACAGATACTAAGCCGGAAAAGAAATCCCCCCCAGTACCAACAATACCACCTTCCGATAACATTTTCTTTGAAAATAACGGGGTTTAAAAGCCCAAAAACAAAAAAAATCCTTTCACCCGTGGCTGCTTGCAGAGGCAAAGGCAATGTTCGGGCTTTCACTGAGACCAAAAAAGGTCACTTGGACAATGAAAAGGGATCCAGGTTAAACCTATCGATGTGACGAGTGAAAGGCAAAGGGGGGGGTTGGCGTACTTGCAGGCATTTGTTTGCACAGAACTGCTTAATGCCTCAAATGCGTAGGGGAAGTTTTAGCAGTAAAGGTGGGAAAAACCAAAACCTAGTCATTGTGGAGTCTACAACCCTCGGATCAACACCCCATTCCCAGAACAGCTTTTAAAAATTACCCTGGGGAAAATCTTCAGCTCTGAAACCCAAATCTTGCCCCGGGGGGATTTCAATTTAAAGGGCCCTTTAAAATGGGGGAATTAGCAAATTTTGTTGCAGTAATAACCCAGGGGGGAGCTCTGATAAAAAACTCACTCACACGGTTTTTAAAATCCTGCAAAAAATTCAATTTAAACCACAAAAAATAGGCCTCCCGTTTTGGAGAATACACTGACTCATCTTCAAACAAGTGATTGATAAAAAATGTCACCATATCAAAAACAATTACGTATCAGTCAAACATTTTTGAGGTTCAGACAGTATGGGGGGACCAGCCCGACAAAATGAGAAGTCAGAGGGAGCATTAACCAAAATTCAATTCAATACAAAAACTAAAGGGGGACCAAGTAAACCCAAAAGTCCTAACCGATATAAGCTGGGAAGATTACAAAGAAACAAGACCAAACTTATCCCCAAAAACAGTTAATCGGTGGCACTCGATTTTTCCCAAAAGGGTTATTTCCTCAAAGAAAAAGGAGGAGTAGTGAAAATAAAAAGGACAGGCGCTCCTTTACGGGCGCGGAAAA